TCTACTAACGATTTGTTAAATAAATTTATATAGCTGTAGTTTATGCGTTGGTTCTAAAAAGAATACAGCAAGCGCCATTTTTGTTCACAAAAAAATAACAAAGATGTAACAAAACTGGAAGATTGATTTATAATATAATTAAAGCAGACAACGCTTTGTCAGACTTCAAACTTGAACTGATTTGATTCCTAAAAATGCAGTCAAGCAAGTACTATATTACAATTTCAAAGCATTAACGTTTCCCAAAGACCACTCTTGATTTATTTTTGGACAGAATCGAAACTGTATAAGCTGTTAGCTAAAAAGCCGAAAGCGTCAAACTTTCTCGCTTGACGTTGACGTGCCTCATATATATTTTGTTACTGTCTATTTCATACACGGCGCTATTTAATTATGCTATGGTCTACCTAAGGGCTTGTGTCAGCTTTACAACCTCTCTCTAAAGAATATTTTAGACTTAGATAAAAAAATCAAGATGATTTTTAAATCTATGAGTTCTTATACAGTAACATAATGGGCCAATAAGCTCAATATTAACATGTAGAACCTAAAACATGTTAATATTTTTGTTATGCTAGAGAATTTAGCATTATGACTTAAAGATCTTTTGTGCCCCTTCTCTTGATTCATGGTATTTCTACAAATCCTATTTCCACAATAAATTGAAATATTACTTAACCTACTTAACTGAGTCTAAATTCCTCACTGCAGTTAAGATGCCTATCTAGATATTGTTTTTGGTTAATGCTTTAGTACCAATCAAACTCCCATCCACGTTTTTGAGGTCTCATCTTCTTATTCACAAATCCTATTAAAGTAGCTTGAAGGGTTTATAAAGTGAATTTTCAACCAACAACCTCCGGTCAGAACTTCTGTAATCATTCCTATATCGTAGTGATTTTTACCTTAAACTCTTAAATTTTTTTGGGTTGAAAGTCCCTCTTAGCGATTTCAATTGCACATCATACACTGCAATAATTTATAAAAACGAGAAAATACTTGTTATCAAAAAGTTTTCTAACTATTAGCAACTTTTGTTTGAACCAGCAACAATTGTTAGTCCCATAAGGAGATGAGCACACAAATATCCACTGATTTATAGCAAATAGAAAAGTAGTGACAAAACTGATGAACATTTGTGCAGTTTTAATGACAGCAACAACATACAACAACACAAAAGTCTAACAACATTGCTGACATGCCTCAAACAATGTAGCATCGGCAACATCAACAGCAAATAATCAGTGAAAATGTTGCACAATTAAAATTTGCATAATAAATTCGTGTGTGCATATGACAACATATTAACTGTCGATCTGCTACTGTTGTTAATTAGTTGTTGTTGCTGTTAACGTTGTTGTTGTTGCTGTTCTGTTGCTGTTGCTGTTGCTGATGCTGTAGCAACTGTGATGCGAACATTTCCAGTCGTTGTTGTTACTGTCAATTTTGTACATTGATTTTCTTTTTTTAATTATTTCTTTTATAATTGTTGCTATTTTGCATTTAATGTTTGCTGTCGTTGTTGACATTTTTTTACATGTTGTCGATGATTTTATTAAGTTGTCAGTTATTAAGAATCATACCAAACAGCAGACGGACATAAATAATAATAACAGCAACAATGACAACAGCAACTGCATCGTCAACATTAATATCAGCTTTAATACGAACAACAATAACAACAGCAACAACAACAACAACAACAACTGTTGTAAGAGCAACAACATTAATACGACGTCAGACCAATAAGGCAATTAAAAGATTTATCTTTGCGCAGTGGCCATCTTAAAAAGCTTGCAAGAGATTTACGGAATTCCTTGGAAGTACAAATGGCGCCATTTAATTTTTAATGACATAATGAGTTGTTCATTTTAATTGCTATTTTGTTTTTTATTTCCTCACTTTTTAACATTTTCACTTTAATCTTAATATTGCACTCTACATTTTCTTTAGCCGGCTATTCAGCTTATTACATCATTTGATGAAGTTGTTGCCAACTTGTACTATTGTATGTCCGAGACCCATTATGTGTTACATAGATGAACTTTTAATAGAGGTTTACATAGTATATTTTTTGTTCCTGATATAATAGCACTATTTTAGGTACATATGCCAAGCGGTAATGTTATCCTCATTATCTCATATATAATGTAAAGTAAAGTCTTCATATGACAATACATATAGTTTATCCTCAGTATCACATATATGAAGTAAAGTTCTCATATGACAATACATATAGTTTAAAACTGACGACTGTGTTAAAAATTTATATCATAAATATGGATACAATTTTCCGCAACAAAGTTGTCTTTTGTTAAGATTGTACAATTCCCGACACCTGGCATCCGAAAATTATATAAGATCAATAA